CCTAGCATATGTCCACAAGACCTATGAACCATAAATAGTAAGTGTCACGTGCAACGTAAACTGTCACGTGACCATGAAGCGCTGAAACCGTAACAGGAGACAAGGTCTGGCTGGAAGCCACCAATTTAAAAAGACCTTACAAATCAAACAAGCTAGCGCCGAAGCGAGAAGGACCCTTCAGGATTAAGGAGGTTCTGGGACCTCTCTCGTTCAAGTTATACCTTCCTGCGACATGGAAGATCCATCCGGTGTTCCACGCCGCATTGCTCACGTCATATCGGCAGATCAATACACATGGGGAAAGTTATTCAACACCGCCTCCGGATCTTATCGAAGGAGAGGAAGAATTTGAAATCGAGTCTATAATTGGACACTGACTACGGCGCAGCAAGAACGAATATTTGATAAAATGGGCTGGATATCCGCTCAGCGAAAGGTCGTGGGTAAAAGAGACAGAAATGGGCAATGCAGGAGAGCTGCTGAATGAGTATAAAAGGGAGCACAACTTGGCCTGAACCCTCAGTCCATGCCCCAATGCCCGTGCAACATCCTGAGTTTCTCGAATCTGCTATCACCACTTTCGCGCATCTTATCGAAGTTCTCGAAGACGTCGAATCCCACTCCTCCCACGATCATCGTTACCAGGTCTTCCAACAACTCGGAGTCTATCTCGCTATCAGAGGGGCTGGATTCGCCATCGAGGATCTTGCCGACTTCGACCATACCAACGTCGAGTTCAACACGACCCATCCAAGTCATGATGGACCATCTCATCCAGAGAGCAGACGACGTCCACGAAGTCCACCTCCTGCAAGGCCTCAGGTCAACTCGATGACAGCCATATCTAACTCCTCGCCCCAGTGGGCTAATCAGAATCCCCTACCCGTTTCCATTCCAAACGGACAAGCCGAAGGTAACGCTAGAGGACGACGTCGATATCGACCTAGACGGAACATGGGGAACGTTCATGAGAATGAACTACCCAATGTACCTAACGGAGGAACTCCACCTGCCCCAGCTAGAGCCAGATCGATGCCGGACTATCCTAACAGCCATCTACGCCGGCCTTCCAGTGGGAATGCTCCCACCATCGTACGCTCTAGATCATCCGCTACACTTTGACATCTTACCGGCAGCACTCTCATTCACTCTGGATGCATTCAGTGTCGTACACGGTACCGTATCAAGAACAATGACAATACCAGCAGAAGAACGTACGGGAATGGCGAACATCCACATCACAGACTGGTACGAAGAAGAAGAACGGCTGCTCGAAGGTATAAGTAGCGGTCCTCCTTTTCCCCTACTGGACCATTGCCTCCTCCTACTCGAGTGGGAACTCTACGAGGAAATCTATCCTTGGGACAAAGAGAACCGCCCCGCTCTACCACCTCCACCCATGTCGCTCAACATCCGTGTCACCACCACAGTCACTCACAGCGCATCAGAGCCAGGGCTCCTCATCGACAGTGACGGAGATGACATCCCGCTTCTAGGCAACATTAGCGACGAAGCACTGGCCGAGTCATGGAGGAGTGCACGTTGGGGAGACGATGAAGACGATACAGGTCGTTGGACGATGGGAGGATCTTGGACGACGGGGAGACCCTGGGGAGAAGACGATGAACAGGCAAGGAGTGCCGACGATGAACAACCCGGCTCCCCTCACCGTCCTGGCGCCACCTACCCCTACAACACTACACCCGAGGACGGATCACAACCTGCACCAGCTGACACTATCAAGGAGCAGATCAGGTACGCTCGAACGATCAAGTCGTCAAGCAATTCAGCGGCAGGACAGGTATCGCTCATCGCCCCAGACGTAGCATCACCCTACGATGTCTTCATCGCTACGCCACTAACATTCCTCATGGAACACGATGGTCATCGTCTCTACGTCCATCGGACGGGCACGGGCGACTTCGCCACCTTCCATGCCTTCGTCTTCACTTGGGACAACCAGAAGGTCGTATGGCACCTCTACTCGGAAGACTCGCCTCATCGCGTCTTCAGCCAGTTGGTTGCTCTGCTCTATCCGCCACCCATCCCAGGCATGCACGACTGGCATCCAACACCCAACCGGACATGCATCCTCAGCATTCGCTTCGCGGGCAAGGAAGAAGGTGTTGAACAGTACGAGGTCGAACTCTTCAGGACGTTCTCCGATCAAGTCCACTACGGAGACGCCAAGACTCCTCGTGAGTTCACACCAGTCATCTTCCAACCCCTCGTCACCATGATCGAGAAGCCTGGGTGGCTTACCGATGGGATCGAGGCACTGAAGGTGGTCCTTTACGAAGATGGGTCCGTCTCGCATTGGGCACCTACCGAGTTCAATCCTCAGCCTCAAGAGGATCTTGACGCGAGTTGGGAGGTCGTACCCCACACCACCATCCCAGTCTACGGCGATATGGGTGTCCGCGGAGGGCGATGATGGGTTAGTTTGGTGAGTGGTCGTCAAGGGTCTTGCCGGTTGGAAGGGGGAGCTTGTGTTACGGTTTCAGCGCTTCA